TCGAAACTACACATATTTGTATCTTACCATGTTTTTACGTACTCGGGAACTGAGGTTAGTAGAACTAGTGTATTGTTCGTTATTTCGAGCCATTGTTACTTTCACAGTGTAATTTGTAGCTGTTTGATCGTTCTATGAGTCGTCGATTGGTAGACTGTATGACGCATTTGTCAAAAGCACACGCATTTCCTATGCCGGTATAAATAGTAGCTAGCCACCGAGCATGTTCTATTTGTATTTCCTATTATAGTTAGGTTGTATACATGCACTTATGTAGTAGGCAGCTATTGTGATATTGTATATCTATGCACAGCATTTTGTTAGACATTTGTAGTATTAATCTGACATTGTATACTTGCTATTACCAGCGTATGTACCCAGTATGTGTACAGTATTGTCGTGCTATTGGTAATATTTAGCCATATGATTTCCTTACATTCATTGTGCTTATTTTGACATTAGTCAGTATTTTGTGGTTACTATTACTGTGAGAGAGTATAGTTGGTTTGAACAGTTATTTTTAGTTATATTATACACACTATGGTATTACCAGTATTGTATCGCAATAGACTGATTTTGTATACTTTGATACGTTTTGTTATCCAATATAATTTCGATTTTCCTATATTATATTTCATTGTATTGTTATATTTCTTGTTGCAGTTTTACGTTGAAATTGCGTGGTTAAATAAATGGTATAAGCAGTCAGTCAGAACTGCGTTCTTAACAGGAATGACAAAAAAGACAAGAGAGTTCTAAGTCTCCTTTTGCTATCACAGCACCCTCATACTGCAAATTTGAAAATCTTTTGTTTTTATGCACTATTCACAATTTGTTAGCTTTCCCATACATTGCCTGCAATGTTGCAGAACAATATTGTGCTTTTATTGTATGAGCACACAGCATGTAATGATACAATACAAGGCCATGAGATGTGCAAACCCTTGTCTGTTTCCAAAGAAATGGCCCCAGTTGATGTATAGTAATAGGAAACGAACCATACAATTAGTAACTATACCAACCTTGCTTTATCAATGTATTTTCCAATATATGCCATACCACATGCTATACTCAAACCTTGTCCCAAGGAACCAGTGGCTACATCTATGAAATTAAGTCTCTGAAATTAAGATACTTATTTTAATTATGCACAATTTAAGAAGATGAATTCCAGCAAACAAAACCACTAGTGAAACTAACTGTCAATCAATAGATATAGTTCTGTCACCAAATTCAAATACATTTCATCCATTAGTAACACAAGTATCTTTGATTAGTTTTCAACAGATCTGAATAGTGAATACAGTATAAAGATAGATCTGATAATTGTAGCAAATATTGAATTTCAAGATATTTTTCTCGTCTAAAATTCAGTGCAAATATTTTCATTTTTTTAAAATTTACATGAAATATCATTAGCATTTTGGACCATACAGAAAGTGTTAGATATTGCTTTTAGTTTTTGATCAAAAGGTATGTAAATTTTTATCAACATTTAACTTAGGGAGGAGTAGATCACACAAAATCAATGGTGCTATAAATTGACAATGCTGCTAACAGGGATAAGCTTTCAAATTACTTAAAGAATTCAGGTTTTGTTATAGTACATCCATCATTGAGACCCAGCACGCCTTGTTAGGTCAACTATTGCATCCTTTGTGGCACTATTTATCATCTGTATATTATGCAAAAAGAATTGAATGCCATAAACACTTACAGGTGTTGGATGTCCTTCCAAATCACTGTCAATCTTTCTTAGATTTAACAAATCTTCTTTTGGAAATAAACCAGCCTCTGCCCAAGCTGCATACAGAATAGGAGCTGCATGGCCCTGCAAGAGGAACATATTACAAGTTAAAGAATTGTGGTAACCGAGTGTTCGCCTAACAACGTAATGAACACATTGGGAAACGGCAATTAACAGTTAAACTCTGGTTTATTTGTGGAACTGCAAACTACAACTTGGCAAGCTTTGCCACCATTACAAACTCAAACCAGGTCATGTGTCCACTAACAAAAGAACATCGAACATACTAAATATTATCACATTTGTAGTGACAATTCAATGTAAAAATCATTTACTCCAGGAATTGAAAAAGATAATTCGAACCAAATGTAAAACCAACATCTATAATTAACAAACCAAGTTTGAACAGAAATTAAGCAAAAAAACAAGATGGACACCAGTCGGCCAACTGGGATCCAATTAAATTGTTAAGGACATGTATTCTAACAAAGTCTTCCAAAATGGTACATTTTCAAAATGTCACTCCCATTTTGAATTGAATCACTAAACCACTGCATGTGCACAGGTCCCACATAAAGTACATGCAAATGAATGAATGAACCTTGGTCAGCAGGTTCTGGGATACTACTCTGGATGAATTGACAGATTGACAGAGAGCAAATTATAAATCTCCATTTTGAACTTTGAACGGAGAATCAGTATACAAATTGATTATTGCACATTACCCCAAAGTACCACGAAATTACTAATCAAAATCCACTCTAAAGTTATTGGAATTATTAACACACACAAGCACAAACAAGAGACCTATTACAGAAATGCTTGGAACAAAGTACACAATCCAAAGTGGACCGAGTGTCGTAAAAACATGGCCTCTACTTGTGTTGTCCGAAAGCTTGTACACTCATTATAGCCAACCAACGTAAAGATAGAAGGGGTAGCACACGTATGCACCAATTTCAAATCCTATATAATACAATATCTCATTCAATCTATAATATTCTTACCTTAGACATGACAAATCTGTCGTTTGCTGCATCTTTTGGTTCCTTTACTTTATACTTCATTTGATGGAAGAACAATACAGACATAATCTCTGCCGCACTGCAACATGATGTTGGATGCCTAGAAAATTTGAAAAATTTAAAAAACAATCAAATTGCCATCATATTCTACATTGTTATTACATCACTTGATTTTTGCTGTAGATGTAGATGTAGATATACACAGGCAATGAAAAGAGACAAGGTTACAAGGAAATGTTAACACTGGTCTGCCACATGTATTAACGTCTTAATTATGACATGTGCTCCAGATTACTGAAACTGCACATTCTGATTCCCACTTAAGACCCTGGTTATCTGATGATATCTGAGCAATGTACAAAACAAACATTGAATGGTTTTTTGGCAATTCATTGATTCAGATAGCAAATGAGCAGAAACAGTTAAAAAATTAATCTGTGATTCAGATATTCTATAAAAGTAACTATGCATGCTACTATATACAACCTATACATCTGAAGGCTCGGATGAATCAGCAGTGCATATGCCATACCAATGTTTGTGTAAAGGATTACCTGATGACCAATTTTCAGGGATTTTTTTAAACCAGGGGAACAGGGGCGCAGCACCCTCATGCCATGGCTATGCGCCCCCTTACCCCGGGGAGCAGATCCTCTGACAACCAACAAATTTTCAATGATAATGGATCACATGTGGCCACAGTCTTCAACTGTGACCTGTGATAGTAATTTTGGCCCCAAGGAAGCCATAGAATGCTCCATTTTAACTTAAAATTATCAAAAACTCACACCCTGGTAGGGAGAACCCCATCTCCCTCACTTAGTGGCACCACTGAATTGCAATGCTCCCTCTTGCAGTTTTTTTTATAGAAAAACCCCTGAATTTTTTTTAAATACCTAATTACAAAATGGTCATAGACGATCAGATGACACAATTATTGTTGTGCATATGTATGCCATGATTTATGTACTATGTATAACATTTGAAATGAATTTCCCAAAGCACATACGAGGTCTTGAATAGAATTTTCAAAAACAAAATGGTAGTCAGTCAGTCGGCCATCTTGAGTCACAAATCAAAGTGATGTGCATAACTACTGTGAATTTTCTAATTTAGGCGTATTTGAACATTTTAATATAGGCTTTTTGTAGTCATGAATACAATGTTTATTGTGACTACAGTGCATGGGTAAACTCTTTTGACAATGAACTGTTATAATAGTTTCTTCATTGCTCAGTTTATCTTTTGAAAACTACGAAACACGGTCAGTGATATTCACCTTTTTTTCACAACTATATAGACCTTTTCTAACTAACTTGCTAATTCTAACTACCAAATATCACAGTATCACTACCAAGTATTACAGCATTTTGGCTCATTTTTACCACCAAATACAAAGTCACTGAATATTTTTGTACTGTTTTTGAATTTGCAGTATTGATGATTTTAATGTGTACATATGTTAGTACATACATGTACCCATCAAATCAAATCCTGAACAGAAAAAAAATCTTTTTCCCTACATTACATGTACTAGTGATAGTTGAGATTCAAATCTCCAAAACAGTGCTAAACACGCCATTGCTTCTGTTTTAATGCAACATGCATGTCTATTTTGAGAAATAAATCCCAATATTCTGACAGTCAGAGTGAAGCAAAGAGGATTAAACCAAACAGTAACCCACACACAAGTCCTTACCCAGAATTTGCAGCATTGGTAGCATTGATACTATCAATTCTCAGTATATTAGCGATGTCTCTCAAATCCTGCAATTTTCTAGCATCCATTTTAGTAGATTTAGACCCCATGCCAACAACATACTACTGACTAAATAAAACCACACCCACACAATCCGCCCTTCAGATTTGGCCACTTGCATTTCACTTGTTTCCAATTTTAAATTAACTGTTTTGTGTATTTTGGATATTCCATTGGTGTAACAGATTATATTGTGAAATTTAAATCATCTATGCTATTGCATTATCATCCAAATATAGCATTACTATTACAACCTAATCCATTGAAAATGGATCATTGAAAATGACATTCCCTACCCATTTCTTTCAATTATTTTTAATGCCAAAAACATGATGCATCATTGAGGAAGGCAGAATATACTCTTAAGAAATAAAGTTTAACCACAATTTCAATTATTCTAAAAACTTGTTTGTTAGTTTAAAACTTAATATTAAAATTATTAAAATATATTGCTGTACACTATTTGATAGCAACAGGAATGTTATTTAACCTTTTCAATACCAATGTCAGGAGTGTTCTCATCAAAAATAAATAATTACCTGTAGTAGTCATTTATCGAAGTTTTAGGTGAAAATCTTGATCAGAAAGTACAACCAACATTCTCAATTTTGCAAACAGAATTTTGTGATAAATTCAATAATTCATATAGAATGAAAAGAATTACATGCAACAAAACAAGTTGTGTAATAAAGGCCTCACAAAAAAAATCAAAGAAAGCTTAGAAAGAACTCCCATGTGCTGAGAGTATTCGAGACACATAAAATATAATTCAAAAATACTTGTACTTGATTGAGATAGTGATGGAAAAGCTGAAAACTAATAATGCAAATGAGAAAATTAATATGAACAGATTTGAATGTAAAACTAATTAGGTCTGCACAATGTAACAGACCATCTATGTACCAAGTTTTATTGAAATGTGATTGGAACCAAAACAATTTTTGCTATTATGCTAATTAGGGAATTAATATAAACAGATTTTAACCCCAAACTAATCAGGTTTGTACATTGTCTTAGAGCATCTTTGTACTAAGTTTAATTGAAATGGAATAATTAGTACTTTAGATATCAGTGTGATAGCTTAAAAGTGGTTAATTATGCAAATTAGTAATTAATATGTACAGATTTTAACCCACAATTATCCAGGTCTGTCTATTGTCCTTAACAGCATCCATGTACAAAGTTTCATTGAAATGATTCTTTAGATATCAAGGGAACAGTCATGGAACAGCTAAAAATTAGCTTATCATGCAAATTAGGTAATTAATATGCATGGAATTTTACCAAAACCTAATCAAATCTGCGCATATGTTCAGAGCATCTATTTATCAAGTTTCATCAAAATCCAATGAGTGGTTCTTTAGATATCAGTGGAACAGTCATAGAACAGCTAAAAATTAGCTAATTATGCAAATTAGGTAATTAACGAGCATGGATTTTTACCAAAACCTAATCAAATCTGCGCATTGGCCCAGGGCATCTATGCACCAAGTTTCATCAAAAACCGATGTATGGTTCTTGAGATAGCACTGGAACAGTCGTTCACACATACACACACACAGACACTAACTGCAAAGACACTAACTGCAAAGACTTCCATTATGTGCTTCGCACATGGGAGTCAAAAATCTGATAAATTAAGGTTTTGAGAAACAGAGTATCCACTATTCGGTCAAAAAGTGATCAAATCTAAGAATCCTGTGTTATATGACACAGCGTGTATATCGACCACCGTGAATATCAACTCTGTCAATGTGGTCGTTTTGCAGTCGATTAAAAAGTGGGAAGTTGGGTGAAACGAGTACTGTAATTTAGTTTTAACTCGTACAATATTTATTCACTCACTGTTTTTGAGAAACTTAACATGATTCGTTATGCCATTCATATGGCCCGTTTTATACTCTATATTGAGGGAATTTCACAGCACATACAAGATGTTTTTATCACCAGAAATCATTCATAGATCTCAAATTTCATGTACAGAGTGACAAAAGCCAGACCTCTGCCCCTTTTAAGGTCTCAGGCTTTCCCATTTAATATATACAATATAAAAAAGGTGTAAATAATTTTACCACAAAGAATATAGTTTGAGATCCATGATGGTCGGCCGTTAGTCAATCTAATCCTGCCAGCCCAGTGAACTTTTACATTGCTTTAACCACAGTTTTAATCATTCTGATTTATTTCTAATATTTTAAAATGTCCAAGTTTTTACTTTGAGTACTCAAAGCATTTACTATATAAATAATTCCTTTTTGAATGATGTAACGTCTGAAACCAGTGTTTAAAAAGAATGCAGTTTCCAGGAAGTAGAATAAGCAAAACTCCCACAAGTTTCAACCACCATGCAAATTTGATAAATGGTCACGCGATGGTTATGCTCAATCACATTTCGAGTCACTCGTACATGCCGTTACCATCACGTGACTATGGTTTACCTAATTCACAATCTGACAACTATAGGCTCCTTTAATAAAAAGAAATGAAAATATGATTTGTACTTGTAAAAACTGCAGAATACAAATTACTCCAACAATTTAAACATGTTGTTTTAATACCTCGCTATCAAACAGAAGCTTGTCTGCATGATAAGATGATCTTATTTGCACACAAGATGGAGGTTTGTTGTTAAACTGAACCACCCAACTTAACCAACTAACTTCATATATGTGACATTTAATGAGAAGAATAATTCTTTCCTTTTTTAAACATCGAATTCATAACGAAGAACATGTTTTAATTAATCAAGCAATTACGACTTTTGCATATGCACAGGTTAATAACGAAGTCGACCATTTGCGGTACCCGGAGCGCAGATTACCGCTGCGAATTACCACAGCTACAAACTTGCCATTATTATAATGTGACATTTGTAGTTGAGACTGTTATGGATGGGTGAATTTAGTGAAACGTAACTCGTGGTTCTCAAAACGTGGTCGGTGAATCGGCGTTTAATGGGCGTTTGGTGAATTGAATGATTCTACAAACGATACCTCCGGAAAAAACTGGGAACATTTTAGCATAAATACTTACCCAGAATTGCTAGCATTCGTAGCACTTATGCTGTGAATTCGTAGACGGTTCGCAACATCTCTTAAATTTTGTATTTTCTTGCTGTCAGGTCTATGATATTCCGCCATGGCGCCTCGTTACAGTGCGTGCAGCAGCTAGCCTGGTTTCAGGTCACGACTCTGAGTGGACCACGTGGTTAGCGCTAGGTCATTAGAGTTCATGTTCTGTCTAATGAGGGCGTTAGACTAATAGTAGTACAGTGAGGGACACAAAGCTGTGCTTTATAACAATTTGGGAATACTGATCACCATCCTCAGCCACATTAAAATTCAAATATTTATTTCGTAGAATCATTCGTTCATGTTTAGCTCTTGATTGGCTCAAGAGCTAAACATGAGTATCTATACCCACAATGCACCACGTTCATGTTTAGTATAGTACGCTGATAGTAACACGAACAGTGAAATTAGCAGTGAG